TTTTTTTTAACTATACTCTTCTCTCAATTTTTCCTCACACTACCTCCCTACCACTACTCCTACCTATAGGCATACGGGAAAACCCGTAGCATACCAGAGCCGTGTTTTTACGGCCCCTCGAGCCGGCAGGATACCGGCCAGGGGACGGCTGGTAGCATTAGGGATAAAGCGGACCAATCCCCCGTGTGGCCTGAGGTTTCTTTTTGGACTCCCATAGGGGAACCGGTTTTGTATTATTACTATTATATGGTCCGATAGACCACCGACCACATCATACTGATCAAATACTCAGCCTTCTCAGGTGAGAGGCTGGCTTTGCCAAGCGTCTATGTTTCTCGCACGCGCACGTCCCTACGGTCCCTTTCGGCTGAGATATCATGGGGTTAAAATTATATTTTTGATACCGTGGTCCCCCACGTCACACGATGCGGAAGTGGAAATTTTGGGCCACGGAGGGGTCAGACAAGTAAGCTTGTTTGCTCGACCCCTCCAGTGTACTGAAGAGCGTGGCTCAGCCCTGCCCCATCCAAAGGGTTATTTACCAAATCCTAATCTCCCCTGCCTCGTCCTGCCTTGACCCCACCCCGGGCCCTTGAAAAAAGGTTGTTCATTCCCAAAAAAAAAAAAAAAAAAAAAAGGTTGTTCATTCAAACTTTTTATTGAGGATTCTGACTGCTCTCGACAAGCGCAGTCGGACCCTGCAGTCAAAAAAAAAAAAAAAGGAAAGCTTTGGTTCTGGTCCAACCTGAATTCGGTTGGGCTGCCTCAACTGATCCGGCCCGGCCAGGTCTGGGCCGTAAAAAAGAAAAGGAAAGCTCTGGTTTGGGCCCAACTGGAATTCCGGTTGAGTTGCCTCGACTGATCCGGCCTGGTCAGGTCTGGTCCAGCAGGACCGGCCGTTCACCGGCCCTGCCTTGATGTGGACATCATTATGTTGCTGCTTTTGCTGCTGTTCTATTGCTGTCCTCCTTGTCTCCGTTTTTGCAAACATGCAGCTGCTGCTGCTGATGATGATGCTGTCATTCTAGCTAGCTTGGTATGTTGTTTGTAACTGGTTGAGTGGTGCTGGGATTTGTGCAGGTGTTTGGCCAGAAGAGGAAAGATAGGACTCAGATGAATGCACCTTTGAGAGTGGGGACAAATGTGCAAGGGGAAGATGGTGAACAGAAGGAAGGACAAAAGCAAAGGGAGAGAGTGGGGACGGATGTTCAGGCGAAAGAGAGTGGGCAGAAGGAACGAATCCCCTACCCGCATGGCATATTCTCTTTTTTCATCAAGAGAAAGAGGAGGAAAGAAGCCGTGCAGGCTGTCAAGGAGGCGATTCGACTCAGGGATAGAAAGAAACTGGAGTGTGCTTTGGAGGAAGCAGAGGTACTTGCTGCCAATAGCGGGTCTGTAAGGGAAGGAAGGGCTGTCCTTTTGCTTTTGAAGTCCTCACCGGCTGTGCCAAGGGTTGCCCAGACTGATGAAGTGCCAGCAGAAAAGAGTCCAGGGGCAAAGGGTGAGGATCATGGGAGAAGCAAAGAACCAAAGACTCATGAGGGTGAGGCCGGCGAGGGAAAAGATGATGCTGAACGTTCGCATGGTGGAGGATGGATGGAAAAAGTGCGAAATGATTTGAGAGCTCGGGATGAAGGAATGAACTCTGGTGGCCTTGTAACTGATTCTGGAAATGGGAGGAGAACAGGGCTGTCCCTTCTCCAAGAGTCAACCCTGGAAGGCACAAAGTTGATATCTTCAGGATCCGAAAGGGGAGAGACCGTAGCCAACGCAGTGCGACACGGAGAAACACAGGAGGCGGAAACACCGGGAAGAGACGAAGGGAGTGAGAGTAGCACCAAGGTGCCAATGGCAAATGCAGAGTCCATGGGTAACGACAGCAGCGCTTGTCAACAGAGGGAGGACAGAGACACTGTCAAGGTGCGAGTCGATGCCTCCTCGTCTGGTGAGGTTCTTCCGTCCTCCACGCCGCTACTGACTCTCGAGTCAGACGTTGACCAGGGACGGTGGGAAAATGGCCGTGGAACCCTCGGCTCCACCCTCAGTGCGAAGGAGCAGGGCAGTGTGAAGGAGATGGGTAGTGCTGGGGAAACCCAATGCTCTCAACTTTCGAAGACGGACCTACCATCACAACTGCTCACCACTAAGGAGACATGGGATGGCTCTCCTGTGTCAGGCAGAACAAGCTGCAGTAGTACAAGCAGTGCCTCCAGCAGCAGCCAGAGACAACACGAATCATCAGAAAGTGCCTTGGCAGGAAATCAGGAACAGCTTGAAGGTGGAGCAAATGCCAGATTGAAAGAGGGGAGCATTCCTTCTGCTGAGCTGAGTGATGGAAGGAAGGCACAAGATGTGCCACGACCAGACGAGGACCTGATGGGGGCAGCAAATGTAACATCATCTGGATTCAGAGATCAGGAGACAGACCAACGGGTGGTAGGGCTGAAGAAGGAGCAGGAGGTTAAAGCAGGGATGAGGAAGATGGATGCATGGATGGGGGACAAGGAGGGTCTGGAAACTGCTCTGAGAGAGGCAGAGAAGTTGGGCTGTCTAAATGAAAAGTGGGTACAGGACGTAAAAGAGGTGCTCGAAAGGGGAAATGAGCAAGAATCTTATAGCGAGAGTTATGGTGAATGGCTCGCTGGAAGTGCAGCTGCAGGGGCCCAGGGGAAAAAAAATGAACATGAGAGGGATAATGATGAAGATCACGAGGATGATGACGATGACAAGGATGAGGTGACGTCCAAGCTGACAACACCATGGTCATCGAATGGGAACCTAGCAGGGGTGGCAGCAGCGACACGTCTTGCGCCGAGTGAGGGCTCAGTATTCAAGCCTCGTGGACCTCAAAGCCCGTCAAACTCCCAGGATAGCGATGGGGCAAGGGGTGATACGAGTTTCTGTTCTAACAATGCAAAGGGGAGTAGGCTTGGCATATTAAGTGGGATTACAGATGGAGGAGACAACAAGGCCGTTTGGCGAACGCAGGACATGGTAGACGGCCTTGAACAGGTGGAGGAATGGGGAGAGGTTGGTGATGAGGGAAAGATTGTACAAGGGAGGTTTCTCCCTGAGAGGAATGACAAGGATGAGCTGGCCATGGTAGGTCTTGAAGACAAGAAAGAAAGGCAGGTGGTGGACAAGCAGGACGGGAGCACGAATATATCCCATCCCCATGATGCCCAGCATGAGCATTATGACCTACCATGGCCTCTGCGATTCTTGCAGCAAGCTATGGCTGATCGGAACCTGCAGTCGCTTGAGCTGGGTGTCACTGAAGCGGAGCACCGAGGACACAATGATCATGACATTTGTCAGGCTGCGAGGGCAATGATCCTGAGACTTCATGAGGAGCGAGAGAGCCTGTCAGTTCTGGATGATGCCACATGTAGTGGAGAAGCAGGAAGAACGGAGGAGGCACTCAAAGCTGCCAACACCGTTGGATGGAAAGGTGATGAGGTGGGAAACGGAAACGAGCATCTTCTTGAGGTGTCTGAAGAGGAAAAGCAGATGAATGCGCAGTTGAACGAAGCGGTTATGGAAGGTCGCCTGGTACCTCTGGAAGAAACTGTCTCCGCTGCAAGATGCCATAATAGTGTGGATGTGAAGCTCATGGAGGATGCTGAAACATTACTATCCAAACTTCGGAAGGAGAAGGAGGACATGCTTGCCTTGGTGGACCGGGGACTGGTCGAGAAAGACCTCACCGCCCTGGTCCATGCACTGTCAATAGCGCATGAAATGGGCCTGGCGAATCTTCCACGCATGGAGGATGCCAAAAAAGAGAAGGAAAGGCTTGAGAAGGAAGAGGACGCTTGCATGCAAGTCAAAGTTGCGATTCATGATCGAGACTTAACTGCGTTAAGAACAGCTTTGCTGACATGCACTGAGCTGGGTGTTCAAGGCACAGGAATTGCTGAGTGGAGAAAAATGTTGAGCAGCCTGGAGAGGGAGAAGGAAGCCATAGACCAGCTGGTGGAGGCCACAAAAGGAAGTGATCTGGAGAAGCTTACTGCCTCAATTGAGAAGGCAGAGCGCGCCGACATTCCAAAGGAGATGCTGGACATGGCTGCGATCAGAGTGGCAGAGCTGGAAAAGGCAAAGATGAAAGAGGAGACTGCCAGGAATGAGCTGAAGGTTGCTATTTCTGGACGGGAAATGTCAGAGCTGGAACAGGCGCTGGCTCTAGCCAAGGAGCTGTCCCTGGACAGCAGTTTAATCTCCGAAGCAGAAACGTTGTTTCAGACCCTTCAAAAGGAGGAAGAAGTGAGGGCTCTCATACGAGAGGCAATCCAGCGCAGAAGTTTGGGCGACTTGGAGAAGGCGGTGGGAGAGGCGGATGCCATCTCCCTCACAGATGGGCTTGTTGACACGGCAAGGAGGGAGTTGAAAAGAGCGCTGGAGGAGGCCGAAGTGAAGATGATGATGGCAAACGCCATTTCAGTTGAGGATATTCGGGAGCTGAAACTAGCCATAAGTCAAATGGACAAATTGGGCTTGGCACAACCGACAGTTCATGAGGCAAAGCAGGTCTTGCATATGCTGGTGGTTGCGGAAGAACAATTGGTGACGAAAGCAGTTGATGATGGACGAGTAGAAGTGATTGAGGCGGCGTTGAAAGCGGCAGAGGAGAAAGGGTTGGACTCTGGGATGGTGGTGTCAGAGGCCAAGCTCCTGGTGTGCAAAGCCAGGGATGAGAAGTCAGTCCTTGACATGGCAAGTAGGATACTGGCGATGGATGAGGATTCGCTGAGGCTACAGGAAATTGAAGACGTGGTGACAACCAGCCAGAAGCTGCAACTTCGAGGACCGACCATCACATCCATCACCAAGCTGTTGGGGACTATGAAAGCGAGGGGAAGAGCCCGAGAAGATCTCCGAAAGGCTCTTCGAGACAGAGACGTGTGGCTGCTGGACTCCGCCCTGTCCAAAGCCAACAGTTTAGGTCTCGAAGGTGCAGACATTGAGGAGGCGCGAGTTCTTGTTGAAAAGACACAGGAGAGGAGGGATCTCATCAAGACATTGAAGATGAGCATAGAGTCAAAGGATCTGGAGAGACTCGAAGAGGTTCTGGGAGGGGCCAGGAGGAAGGTGTGGGAATGGATCCGCGAGGAGGACCAGGCAATGGAGGCAGAAGCTGGCATGCTTGGTGATCTGCTGCAGGAAGCAGGAGATGTTGCCCAGAGACTTAGAGAGATCAAGAACCTATGCCAAAGAATTAGGGAGGTCACAGGCAGCTCCTCCATCACCAAGGGAGGGACCAAAAGGGACATCGCGGCATTGCAGAAAGCAGTGGCAGAGCTGGAGAAATTGGGTGGGGAGGAGGAGCCAGCTTATACCGAGGGGAAGATCCTGATCGAAAGATGGACAAGGGAGAGGAAGGTGTTGGACAAGGTCGAGAGAGCAATTGACTTCTCACAGTCCGTAGAGCTGGCTTCTGCCGTCCGGGAAGCGGACCTGATTGGCCTGGATGGCGAGGACATTGTCAAAAGGGGCAAATCATGCCTCGAATCAATCAAGAAGAAGGGGGATGTGAAGGTGAAGCTCCGACTTGCCATAGCACTGCGAGATAGCAAAGCTCTGGAGACGGCTGTGTCGCTGGCAGAGGGAATGGACCTGGCCCATCTTAAGGAAGTGCTCAAGGCGAAGGAGGTCTTGGCCAAACTGGAGGAGGAGAGAGCGGCCATGAACTCCATGAGAATAGCCATGGAGAATAACAATCTTGAGGCTGTGGAAGCGGCATGGGAATGCGCTCAGAAGTTGGGCGTCAATGATCCGATGGTCCAGGATGCAAGGAATATGCTAGAGAAGAAGTGGGCTCTGCGAATAGCAGAGAGCAAGCTCATGGATGCGGTGGAGACGAGGGATATGAATGCGCTGGAAGAGGCCCTCAAAGTTGCTGCTGATCGAGGTGTAGACCCCAAAATGCTGGCTGATGCTGAGAGTGTGGCTCTACAGCTGGCGACGGAGAACGAAATCAAGAATGCAATAATGAGAGGGGTGCAGGAGGAAAGGTGGGAAGATGTGGCCAAAGCAGTGGAGAGAGCAGAGGGCCTCAGCTGGGAGGATGATGATGTGAAGGCCGCGAGGAAAATCATGGAAGAGGTGCGGTTGCGAAATGCGGCCCTGGTCAAAATGAAGGACGCAGCGGGAAGGAGAAATCTCGAGGACCTCACTGTGGCGTTGGAGCTGGCAAGACGAGTGGGAATAGAAGAAGAGGAGATGATAGGAGTGAAGAAAGTCCTTGAAGAACTATGTGAGGAGGACGCGATCATCAAGGAAATCACCACAGCTGTCGATAGGAGGGACTTGTCCCGGCTGGAGATGGCTATGAAGACTACAGAGTCAATCAAGGGTTTGGAAGGGAGCGCGGTTGTGAGGGAAGGACTGGAAGTTCTGCGCCGGCTGAAGGAGGAGCGTTCACTGTTTGAAGAGATAAGGGAGGCCATCAAGATCAGGAGCTTACGACGTCTGGAGGCAGCAGTGAGGAAGGCAGAGGAGCTGAAAGATTTCGAAGGCAATCTCACGGTCGTAGAAGCAAGGAAGGTGATCGGGCAGCTTCATGTGGAGAAGGCCGCCATGGACAAGGTGAGGGAGGCGCTCAACAAGAAGGATGTGAGAAGGTTGGGCGAAGCGGTAAGAGAGGTGGAATGGCTTGTTGACCGGAGGGAGTGGGATCCAGTCGTCGAACGAGGGAGGCGAGCATACCAGGATATTGTCAAAATCTGGACAGAGTTGGAATTGGCAATCAGGAACCGAGATGTGCACCATCTCAAGAAGTCCCTTCAGAGATGGGATCGTGGAATTTACAGTGATTGGGATGACAGGAGGGTAGAGGAAGGGAGGGAACTGTTGTGTAAACTGGAGGTTGCCGAGATGATGCTGGAAAGAGGGGTTTGTAGCAGGGATATGGAGGCGCTGAGGAAGGGACTGGAAATGGCAATGGAAATGAGGCTACGGAACCTGAAGGTGAAAAGGGCAGAGTCCGTATTGTCAAAGCTCAGAGCGTGGAGGGTCGCGGCTGTGATTGCTCAGCATGGCGCTGCTACACGAGCTATTGACGTGCTTGAGACAGGGCTGAGGCTTGGCGACATTGCCGGGCTAGATAGCAGGGAGGTTGGTCGAGAGAGACAGGAACTGGAAAGGCTGAAGCTGGAAAGGGACATGGTGACGGCCATCATCAATGCCATGGAAGCGGGAGACATGGATTCTCTCGAAAGAGTGGTAAGGATGGCGGACGAGATGGAGTTGGAAGCAAAGGAGGCAAAGGATGCCAAGCAGGTGCTTGAAGTTGCAAGGGCCAGGGCTGCCTCTCTCCTTGCCCTGCGTGATGCTCTCAGCTTGAGAGATGCGGACCGCATCCAAAGAGCAATCCAACAGGCCGAGCTGATGAACATCGAGGATGAGACGGTGCTTTATGCAAAGGTCCTGGTCGTGCAGTTGACAGCAGAAGCTCATGCCGTTGCTCTTATGGAGGAGGGCATCAAAACAGAGGATGTGATAGTGTTGGAGGAAGGCTTGGTCCTAGCGGAGAGGTTAAAGATGTCTGATCAGCGTGTGGAACGAGCAAGACGGATGTTGGGGAGAATCCGCCCCAAGTGGGAAATGAGCTTAAGGCTACGAGAAGCGATGGACGCAGGCAATGAACTAGCGTTGGAGGGTGCTTTGGGAGAGGCAGCGGCTCTTGGTGTAGACTCTCAACTTTCTCGTGACGCATCAGCCTTGCTCTGCCAGCGAAGATTGGAGAAAGCGGCCATGACCAGACTCACCATAGCCGTGCAACTGCGAGATATGGATGAGGTGGCGGTTGCTGTCGAGGCAGTTGAAAAACTTCAGCTGCAGGGAGATGTTTTAGACGAAGCCAGGATCTTGCTTGAGGGGATGGACAAGGAGGGTTATGTTACGTCTCGTCTGCAGCAGGGAATTGAACGCAAGGACCTTCCGTTGCTGGAGTTGGGTCTGAGGATGGCACAGAAGTATGGCATGTCCGGGGACCTCGTGGAGGAGGCTAAAAACTCTTTGGAAGATCTGAAAGACTGGGCAGAGATTATGGAACAGCTTGGTTCTGCAATGAGGGACAGAGACATCGGCAGGTTGGAGACTCTGCTTGCTGCAGTCAATTGCAAGGAAGCCTCCAAGAACTCAATAGGTAGGGGGTCTGGGGCAGGGTTTAGCATCAGCCTGAGTTTCAACTACAAGACGGAGGTTGTCGCAGAGGCGGAGAAAATACTCGAGCAGTTGGTAGTCGAAGAGAGAATCCGTGATGCCATCTTCAATGAGCAGATTGGGGATCTGGAATTTGGTCTTGCTGCGGCGGAGAAAGTGAACCTGGAGGGAGATCTCATTGATAGGGGAAGGTGCGTCTTGCAGCTCAAGAGAGCAATGGAGGCACGAGATGCACCAACGCTAGCAGCAGCGATACATGCAGCCAGCCGTCTTGATCTTGGGGGCGAGTACATGTCTGAGGGAAAGACAATACTTGATCATCTACGAGAAGAACTGAAGGATATGGCCTACAACACTGGTAGTGTGAGAAGTGCCCCCATGGCCAGTGTTGGTCCAACATCTCCAGCAACTCCCACCATAGACAAGGAGGGTTCTCATCAGAAGATGCAGCAGGAGATCATGGGAGAACTGTTGATAGACGAGGTGGCACACACTGTCGACTTAAGGTCAATTGCCTCTGACCTGCACCTTGGAGCAGTCGACAATGCCGTTGCCACGGCGACTAACCCGAAGTGGAAGGTCAGCAAGTACGGCAATTTGCGATCACCCGAGGCATTCGGGAAGAGTCCGGTTCGAAACCGCCTTGATGCTGACGATGCCTCAGGTGTCCCATTGCTAAGGCTTCCAAAGCGGCTGGCAGAAACAGCTATCATATGTCACAAGAGGCTGCTGCAGGTCTGTGGAGACAGGCCAATCAGAGGACCTTTAGGTGTTACAGCTAGAGGGATCCTTGTAGCAGGGAGTCAGACAGCAGAAGTTAGGGATGAAATCTATGTCCAGATCTGCAGGCACGTAACCACCACCACCAATCGTAAGAGCGAGAGGAGAGGCTGGGTCATCTTCTGTCTCTGCGCTGATACGTTCGAGCCATCTGTCAACCTGGTTTTGTACTTGCTCAACTTCTGTGGACAGCACTGGAATGAAAAAAGGAATCTAAAGATGGCAAGGCAAGTCCTCCTCCTCCTCCTCCTCCTCCTCCTCTTCTTCCTCCTCCTCGTCTTCCTCCTCCTCCTCCTCTTCCTCCTCCTCCTCCTCCCCCTCCTTCTTTCCCCGCCCTCTGTCACCATCAGCACAAACTGCACTGTGTGCATGTTTTGCACTTGAAGGCGATGCATATGAATCGTTCTCTATATTAGGTGACCTGGAAGACGAGCTGTAACAGGACCGAACTGAATTATTGTCAAATGAGTTTTGTGCTGGAGTTATTATGCACTAAAATAAATTGTCAAATGAGTTGTCATTCCTATTTGGATGGGTCTGCAGACTCTGCAATGACTGACACATGTATCTCAACAACAAACTCCATGCATCAGGAGCTTGGGGGGCCATGAGAATAGCAGCTAGTGGTTTGCTTTTACTTGTTGGAGCCAGTTTGGTCGTGTTATCCAGACTACCGTCTTCCCCCGAACACAACACACACTCATTATGGCTGTACCAAACTGGAAAGATAGCTTGCATACATACATTATCAGGGTGCATTTATGTTGGGGAGAAGACAGCAGCTATGTGGTAAAAGTCCATATGAGCGGTCCCATGCTGGGAATCTTGGGATATGTCGGAGACTTAGCATGGTGTCAGGAAGCAAATAGCCCATCACGACTTCTGTTGCGAGCTTGTCGCTGCACGTGATGGTGAACCAGATAAGTTGTGCTTCGGTGGCTTCTGTTTCCAGCACATCACTGTGATCACACCTGCTCAGGATTCAGCCTACAGTCTTTTTGGAATCTTTGTGTGGACGAGCAGCACTCACTCGTATTAGCACACACAATGTGTGGTTGTTTGTTTGTGATTGTTAAGTGTGTGTTTGTGCCTGTCTCTGTGTGTGCGTGCGAGTGAGTGTGCGTTGCATGCGTGCGTGCATGCATGCATGCGTGCGTGCGTGCGTGATAGAATGCTGAAAATAAGAACATAGCTGATCGCTCCAACACGGTAATGAACACGTTCCATACCATCACATTGATCATGATGTACCAAGGGACCATAGCTCGCACGTCTTTTATGAAGTTTTATCCTAGTTGGGAAGGAAGACAAAAAACAGCAATAGAAAGGGCATGAGGCAAAAAGGCATAGAACGGCAGGCAGCAGCAACGAGACATAGGCTGGAGGGCACGGGGAAGGTGGGTGGGCAGACAAACAACAGAAGGCAGCGAAACCAAAGCGAAAGCAACACAAGACAACCATCAAGGCATAGGATGACACACGACAGCAAAGGATAAATGCAGGACGGCGCGGGGGAGGGCGGGAGGGCAGACGACTCACAAGCAAACCGAAAAAAAAAAAGGGGTAACTTCAGTAGAGTCACAAAAACGAGTTATACTTGCAGCACCGCGGGGCAAGATACAGTTTGCAATTGCACTTCAGGCAACCTACCTGGCCAGAAAGCTGGGTTGTATGCATTGCCCGAACTGCAATTCGAAACTGTATCTTGGCCCATAGTGCAATTATAACTCATTTTTGTGACTTCCGCGTCCCAAAAGAAAAGCAAAGACCGCTGGAAGTTACTGAAGGGGATGACGCATCTATCCTATTGGGAGCGTTAATGAAAGTCGACAGGCCAGCCTTCGGAGACCTGCTGTCTGCAGAGATGATTCGGGCAGCGGTGCTGTGGGCTCTATGGACACTGCCAAATGAGCGCGGCAGACAGGGAGCAGCACCTGTACTGCAGGCATATCAGGAAAGAGCGATGGAGAATTTTGAGGATTGCCCTGCAGGCGGATTTTCGATGTTGTAGATATTGGGGGGGTGTGAAGGTGGAGGAATTTTGGAAAAGATGGGATCAGTACCCACACCTGTTGACTCGTGATCCTGACACGGGCCTGTCGCAGTTCGGCCCTGTTCTGCTGCGCCACATCCCCCGGCCGGAAAAGGACCCAGAATAGGAATGCTGTGGTACTTCATGTTCCAGGCTGAGGGGCGGAAGTGATAGGATTAGCAGGCCGCCTGTCAAACTTTACAATCCCCTCAGGATGGGCCCATAGGAGGTAGGCCGCCTGTAAAATATGGCCAGGAGTGAGTATGATCATGGGATGGAGGGGTAGGAGGGGCATAGCATAGGAAGGGCAAAGAGTCGAGGGAGTGAATTTTAGGAAAAAGACAGTTTAAAAAGTGACGAAAAAGGACAGAACTTAGGGGACGTGCTGGGGATACTCTCTTCAAGAGCAGGATATCATGACAGTGAGGAGGGGAGGTGATGAGGGGATTGTGAAGTTTGACAGGGGGGAAGATTAGAAAGGGGAATAGATTCATTGAACGGCGAAACTAGTAGGTGAGAAACAGAAGCTTAGGATTAGCAGGAGTTGATGGTGTCGGTATTTTGGACTGACAATGGGAATGCAGTAGGGGCGATACGGCCTGTGAGGCTGCTAGAACAACCCTCCCCGCACCATGTTTTTCCTAGAGTCCTTCTGCTGCGTGACTGGGTGCTGCTATTAAGCTTCCCGGGCCAGCAGAAGCCCACTAGGAAAGCAACGGTTTCGGGGGGGGGTCGGATCGTAGCAGCCCCCCCCTTGAGTAGGTGACTCGTACCGCTAGGGTTGGGCTGACTCTTCTTCAGCACTGTTCTTCCCCTTTCTTTCTTCTTTGTACTCATGCTTGCCGGTGATAAGCAACCGGACTGATGCCCCCCATAATAGAAGAGGGCCGGGATAATTTTGAAAAAAAAAAAAGCTGATCATGAGAGATTGTTTCGTCTGGATTCCATCGACTCATCAGGAGGCTGAACTGTTGACAATCTGTGGAATTTCCGTACTGATGGTTTGGGTCATGAACCCATTGACCCATGTTGAAGGCGGACTGTCCACAAGTGGAACACAGCAGCAGGGCAACACCTCAGTGAAGCATTAGGCAACCCTGCCCGAGCAACCCGACTGCACAACATAAAAAACGACTGCTAGGAACGACACAGCACGGGAACGAGCAGCACGGGAACCGGGCTGTGAAGCACAAGGCAACAGAAGCACGACAGCCAAACTACACGGCACACAACAAAGGACGCAGAAAACAAGGCACGCGTATGGGTGGCAAGGCAACAGAGCAGTGAAGCACAAGGCCACACCAGCACCTCAGCCACAACAGACAAAACACAGCAGCTTGCAAAGACGAAGCAAGCAGCAAGGGCAACAAGGAAGCGGCGGAGCGCAGACAAGGCAGTGTACACATCCAACACAGAGCAAAACAGCACATGACCTACTCACATCAAGGGTGAACCCCACAGGCTGTTGGTTCCCACCACCCACTGAGCCAGGGAGTCACTCCGACGGACGTCTGTCATCACCCATAGACCATATGCACCTCAGACATCACAGGCCGAGCGGCGCCCCTAAGAGTCCTGCAGGCACTCCAAACAAACAGCCGACCACTGACTGTTTAGCACTTCTTAAAGGTGCTCACCCAGAAAGTACTTACAAAAAGTCAAGAAGGAAGAAATACAAACAGACAACCGATTGTGTTGTGTGTGACACTGTGTGTGTGTGTGTGTGTGTGTGTGTGTGTGTGTGTGTGTGTGTGTGTGTGTGTGTGTGTGTGTGACAGAGAGAGACAGAGAGAGAGAGAGAGAGA